AGTTTCATAATACAGTAGTCAGAGAAGATGCTTGATAGTATTTTAATTTTTAAAAATTTATTAAGACCTGCTGTGCCCAACTAGTGTTGTTCAGTAGTTGAGCATCGACCTCTGAGCCAGGAGGTCCTGGTTTGATTCCTGGTCTGGCCGCATGCCCAGGTTGTGGGCTTGATCCCCAGTAGGGGTTGTTCAGGAGACAGCTAATCATTGATTCTCATCAGTGTTGTATCTAACTCTCTCTCCCTCTTTCTTCCTGTCTCTGAAATAAATTTAAAATTTTTTTTAAAAAATCTTAAAATTTATGAAGACTTCCTTGTGTTCTAACTTGTAATCAAACTTAAAGAAAGTTCTATGTGGCCCTGGACATTGTTGCTCAGTGATTAGAACATCAGCCCGCACACTGAAGGGTCACAGGTTCAATTTCCAGTCAAGGGCACATACCTACGTTGCAGGTTTGATCCCTGGCTCCAATCAAGACACTGGTGGGAAAAAACCAATCAATGTGTCTCTCTCACATCAGTGTTTTTCTCTGTCTCTTTTTCTCTCCCCTCCCTTCCACTCTCTCTAAAAATCAATCGAAAAACTATCCTTAAGTAAGGATTAACAAACAAAAAATTTTATGTGCACTTGAAAAGAAATTATATTCTACTGCTTTGGGGTAAAATGCTCTAAAATATGAATTAAGTTTATCTTGTCTAGTGCATCTTATAAGGTCGCTGTTTTCTTTTTGATATTTTTGTCTGGGAGATTTATCTGCTGATGTCAATGGGTTGTTAAATTTTCCTGTTATGACTGCATTATTGTTGATCTCTTTTTTTTATTTCCATCAAGATTTGCTTTATGTATTTATGTAATCCTCTGTTATGCTCATAAATGTTTGCAAGGGTTATATCCTCTTGTTAGATTTATCCCTTTATCATGAGGTAATGCTCTTTTGCATTTCTTAATATAGTCTTTGTTTTAAAGTTTATTTTGTCTTATATAAACACTATAGGCCAGGTGCACGAAATTAATGCACGGGTGGGGTCCCTAGGCCTGGCTGGTGGTCAGGGCTGATCGGGGCCCTCCCACGGCTCCTCCCCCTGGCCAGCCCCACCTTCTTGCCAGCTGCCGGCTGCCAGCTGCCAGCCAGGGCCTTTCAGACAGGGGGAGGGACCATGGGCAGTTGGCCGGCCGCAGGAGGTTGGCTGTGGGAGTGCACTGACCACCAGCAGGCAGCTCCTGCATTGAGCGTCTGCCCCCTGGTGGTCAGTACATGTCATAGCTACTGCTTGTTCTGGTGTTCCAGTTGCTTAGGCTTTTATATAGATAGATAGATTTCTACTCCTGGTTTTTTTTTCTGTTTCTATTTGCATGAAATATCTTTTTCCACATTTTCACTTTCAGTCTATGTTTATCTTTTATTTTGAGGTGTGTTTCTTGTAAACTTCATATTTATGGGTCTTGTCCTTTTATCCATTCAACTTCTTTATGTCTTTTGATTGAAGAATTTAATACATTTACCTTAAAATGATTATTGATGGGCACATATTTATTGCCATTTTATTATTAATATTTATGTTTCTTTCTTTTTATGTAAAAGAAACCCTTTAACATTTCTTGTAAAACTGATTTGGTGGTGATACCTCTTAGCTTTTTCTTTTCTGGAAAGCTTCTTGTCTCTTATTCAAATTTAAAGTATAGCCTTGCTAGGTAGAGTAATCTTTGTAGTTGGTCCTTGCTTTTCATCACTTTTTATATTTTGTGCCAATCCACTCTGGCCTGCAATATTTCTGTGAGAAATCATCTGATATTCTTATGGGAGTACCCTTGTAAGTAACTAACTGTCTTTCTCTTTCAGTTTTTAAGATTATTTTTGTTATTAACCTTTGGAATTTTAATTTTGATGTGTCTTCATGAGGCCCTCTTTACATTCATCTTGTTTGAGACTCTCTGCATTTCCAGGACTTGTCTTTTTTCCAGGTTGAAACATTTTGTCATTATTGTTAAAAGTAAGTTCTGAATTCCTTGCTCTTTCTTCAACCTCCTGTTTTTCTGTGATGTAGATCTTGTCCCAGAGATCTCTTGAAATAGCCTCAAATTTTAAATATTTTGGGGTGCTCTGATTGGTTATTTTCTGCTACCATGCTTTTCAAATTACTGATTTAATTATCTGCTTTATTTCATCTCCTGTTGATTTTTTTAGTGTAATTTTTATTCCAGTTATTGTATTCTTCCTTTCTGACTGGTTCTTTTTTTAAAAAAATATATTTTATTGATTTTTT